CGTGTGTAGGCAAATTAGCCATACACTGCATCCTATGGGATATGGAAGCTGAAGGCCTATTTGAACACCTTTACTGTCTGCAGTTACCAAGATAAAACATCTCCATTCACTCAGGAACACAAGGATTGGACAGTCAAGCATTGGAAAAAAGTCATGTGGTCCAATGAATCACGTTTCCAGTTGCATCATGCAGATGGCAGAGCGAGAATTTTGTGGAAACAGCATGAAAAGCATGCACCCCACATGCATGAGAACAATCCTCCAAGCTGGTGGGGCAGTGTTATGGTCTGGGGAATGTTCCCTGGTATAATTTGGATCCTTTAATTTGTATGGAACAACTTCTGAATAGCACAACATACCTAAGTATCGTTGCTGATCAAGTTCATCCTATCATGTTGATGGCCTATCCCAATGGAGATGGCTTTTTCCAACAAGACAATGCGCCATGCCATGGTGCTTATATTGTGCAGGAGTGGTTTCAGGAACATGAGGGAGACTTTATCTTGCTTAGGTGGCCCTCACAATAATGAGATCTCAATCCAATTGAGCATTTGTGGGACGAAGTTAAAAAGAGCCATCGGGCAGCTGGTTCCACAACCATCAAAGCACACAGAACTGGACAGTGCTATTCATCAGGCATGGTGTCAGATTCCTCTCATTACCTTTCAACATCTTGTGGAGCCAATGCCAAGAATCGCCACAGTATTGAAGGCAAAAGGTGGTCCAACAAAGTACTGATGGGGTGGTCATAATAATCTGGCCACTCAGTAAGTAGGTAGGTAGGTAGGTAGATAGATAGATAGATAGATAGATAGATAGATAGATAGATAGAGGGGGCGATGAACAAAATTTGTGTACTTGGGGGCGGGGGTCCCTCAGCCTGGCCTGCGCCTTCTCGCAGTCCAGGAGCCTTTGGGAGATGTCCAACTGCTGCCGCAGAGCGAGGAGAGGATCCCGCCACTGCTGCTGTGCTCCCCAGATGTGAGCCCAGCTCAGAGCTTCTAGCTGAGCAGTGCTCCCCCTGTAGGAGCATACTGACCATCAGGAGGCAGCTCATGCATTGAGCGTCTGCCCCCTGGTGGTCAGTGTGCATCATAGCGACTGGTCATTTGGCCATTAGGTCAATTTGCATACTAGCCTTTTATTATTTAGTATGTGTGTTTGTGTGTGTGTGTGTGTGTGTATGTAATTTTTTAATCCTCAATGGAGGAATGAGGATATTTTTCCTATTTAATTTTCTTTTTAGAGAGAGAAGGGAGGGGGAGGAAGAGAGAGAGAAAAGAAAGAAACATTGATGTGAGGAAGACACATGGATTAGTTGCCTCCCACACATGCCCTGACCAGGAACAGGAATAGGATCTTTAACCCAGGTACCTGCCCTTGACTGGGACTCAAACCCGCAACTCTCCAGTCCCTGGGCCGACACTGTAACCACTGAACACACCAGCCACAGCTATTCTATTCTTTACTTGTATGATTCCCAATTCTCCTCTTAAAATTCTGCTATACTTTTCTGAACATGGTTTCATTATGTTCGTGTATTCTCTATTGCATTACATTTTAATTCCCTGAGCACTCAATATGGAATGTTTGTGAATTCATTATGAAAAAAAGTGAAAGCAAAGATAATTCTCCCCAAGACATGGCAGCTGAGAGAAAATGCAAAATGACATGAAAATTTTACCAGGTGATTAATATGAATTGACATGACATCTTTGATTAGACTCAAGGACCTGTAGGATGAGTGTCCAAATGCCTTATCTTATAGAGAAGAAAATCAAAATTCAGACAGAAGCTACATGACTTGCCCAATATGATACATCTAACTAGATACATTTATAATCTTACACATAAAAATATACATTATCACCTAGGATAGTTCTGTTCATGCTTGAGAAAAAAAACAAAAATCTGTTCCCAAAACATGTGCAGACCACCACAGTGGCAAAAATCCCACATCTGGAGTCATTCCTGTAGATTAGGGGTGTCGAACTCAATCAGAGAAGGGGCCAAAATCTAAAATCCAGCCTAAATCGCGGGCCGAATGGTTTACTGAACAGTCATAAACTGTCATTGTGATGGAAACGCAGCGGAGTGCAGTGATGACAGCGTGGTGCGGGCCACATTGCAAGGCCTGGCGGGACGGATTTGGCCCGCGGGCCTTGTGTTTGACACATGTGCTGTAGATCAAAATATTGTATCAGAAATTCTGAAATAAATACAACTGTTTTTAGGGAAATGAGAGAGTATGAGGGAGAAAAAAAAACAAAAAAAAAAACCAATACTCCAGAGTTCTAAGTCAGAAGGTTAAAAAAAAAACACACATAATAAAAAAAGACTTTTGAAATCACTCATATACCGATTCACCCGGAGAGACCAGTATCTGTGTGAATCAGTATTCACTGGGAACAGACCTTCATCTTCTCCTAATGAGGCCAACACAGCCAAGTGTTCCTCCAGCGATAGATAGGCCACATTTCTTTTGTTTTTCATCACATGAAGTAACTGGCTAGAATTAAAAGAGTTGGCTGTCCCAAAAACACATACTGTATCTTTAAACACTGGATTAGCACTCCAGTAGGGTAAGAACACTGAGCCTGAAAAGACTCAGGAAATTAAACGGAAAATCAGAGTCCTGACTCTCATGCTATCCTTACCACAGAACCTACTCTCACTGAGAACAGGGGGCCCCATGCACTATTTCACCATCATTTCTCTCCCGCTCTCCTCTTGGTTTTGCATACACGTACAGCTGAATCTGTGCCATTAAATGTGTGCATGGTCGGACTTCACAGTATTCCCCTACTCCCGTATTTGCAGAGGGACATAATGATCTGGGTTAGACAGAAGATACGCAAGTACTGCAGGAGAGGTAATCCAAGTCTGCTCACAGGTCCTCATGAGAAGGGCAGGTCAAGTGCAGTAAAGAGCCACACAGCCGCCTGAGGACTCCAGGGTGTGCGTAAGTGAGGGCTGAAGGGACGAGAGGAAAGATCCCTAGTGGGATAGAGTTTGCTCCAAAAATAATCCACCACATTCTTATTTTTTCCTTGGACTGAGTTGGATATACACATTTTGAACACTGCAACACCTCCCATTTGATTGCTGTTTAATTAATGTAGAGGGTGTAATACTCTTCAAGCATTAACTAACCATATAACTATAGAATTCACATACTCTGAGAGAAGTTAATCATGAGAATATTTTTCAGATGAGAAAATGGCCTTAGAGCAGAAATAACTGAGCCAATACTAAGAAATACATGCAGCGGGAAGGCCAGACCACCACCCATGCAGGACCTGCCACAAAGAGCCACGTGGAACACCACACAGAGGAACGGTGATTATGATCAGGCATTCTACCGTAGCATGAAAGAGTTTAAGCTATGTTGGACTCATTAAGAAAAGAAAGGACGCCCTAGCCGGTTTTGCTCAGCGGACAGAGCATGGGCCTGCCGACTGAAGGGTCCCAGGTTCGATTCTGGTCAGGGGCATATGCCAGGGTGGCGGGCTGGTGCAGGAGGCAGCCAATCAATGGTTCTCTCATCAGTGATGTTTCTATCTCTCTCTCCCTCTTCCTTCCTCTCTGAAACCAATAAAAAAAAATGTTTTTTTATTTTTTTTTAAAAAAGGAAAAGAAAGGATGTCACTCACTACCAAGTTTTCCTGTCTCTAAAGAAATAATTACTTCTCTGCTAATAAAATGTCCAGGTTCAATGGAGCCAGGTCCTATAAGTATAAATTATCTTCATTACAAGCGGATAAAAACCTTCCCCAGCCATGTTTAGCTTAACTCCGCTGCAGAGGTCAGCAGGAAGGAAACCTGGCTCCTGGGGTGGCATTCCGTGTGCCTGGCGTCAGGATGTGCGGTCCAGACCCACACTCAGGTGAGAGGGCCTTTCCCAGGACTCCAGGCATTCTCACAACTTGGCCACACAAAAGCACACCCAAGGCGAGCACAGGAACGCCTTTCATAAGACTGTAGCTGTACAAACACAGGTGTCTACACAGCAATGTTAATGAACTTTGCATTGAATATTCCAAAGAGCAGTAGGTCCCTGCACACTCCATCCATTGTCTCAATAGAGAGAGCTACCCTGAGAGACCACCAAAGAGGGTGGGGGGGAACAACAATAAACATCTATGTTAATGAAACACTTCAACGGCAACACAAAATACTTGTTCTAGAGAGAAAACATATTCTCACACCGCAAAAGCACGTAAAAAAAAATGTTTCCTCAACCTTTATTAGGTTCCTTCATTCGTTGACAAGGTAAATGCCCACTGCGTACTTAAACATTCACATCTGCATTTTACACGCGAGTGGCTTCCAGCAAATGATAAAGCAACATTCCCGTGTGAGGGTGAAAGATGGCAGTGAGAATCCCGGCCCTTCGGAAAAAAGGAGGAGTCAGGTCTACCAACTAGTCCTTGCTTGGCATAACTGCCAGGCTTCCGGGGAGTTGCTTGATAAAAGGGGGCCTCGCCCTAATACATTAAGAGTGAGCAGTGTCCACGTCAAAACTGCCTGCACTCAACGAAGCTCTAGACCACTTGGTGTCCTGACTTCCAGAAAATGACTCCTTAAAACACACAAACACACACACACACACACACACACACACACACAAAACTGCGGAGTGACAATGGCATCCTTTTAAAAGAATAATAGGGATAATGATGATGATGGTGAGAACTGGGCAGGAGCCGCGGGTGCTGCCCGCCGCCCATGGAAGTTGCCCAGCTGAAGGCGCTGGTTGAGTTAAAGCCCGTGAGGAGGAGCGCGCTGGTGTCCGGCTCCCGTGAGTCTGACGGGGCCAGGATTGGGGCTGGGATCGGGGCTGGGGTTTGTCTGTTACGAGATCAAGCCTCCCGGTGGCTCAGCCAGGCGCTCCCAACCTCCCTCTCCAAACGCAGACCCCAAGTTCGACACGCAACTCCCCGCGAGCACAATGACAAGAAGGCACACAAAAGGAGCGCGGCGGCCGCTCCCACCCTTACCTTTGACTTGACTTTCATACTCGGCTATGATCTCTTTGTCCTTCTTGAATCTGCTCGGAGTGGACATTATCCAGCTGTTCTGGGTTTGCCTCCAATGGGCAAGTTCGGTCAGGCGGTCGCACGCCGGGCTCCTCGGAGAGGCGGAGGGCTGGGCGGCCACGCGCCGGGAGCCCCAGGCAGCACCGGCGGGCGGTCCGGGAGAGGCGGGGGAGGGGGAAAAGGAGCGAACCGAGGACTAGATTAGCCCGGGCGCCGGCACCATGCTCCCGGCTCGAGCAGCCGTCGGTGCTCCGGACGGAGGGTGCCCGGGGTCGGGGGCCGGAGAGGCCGGGCGCGCAGACCAACTCCAGCAGCGAGCGCGCGGCGGGGGCGGCTCCCTGCCCACCCCGCCCGGGGCCCGGCCACTTCCTCTACGGCCGCGGGGCGGACGCAGGGTTCGAGCCGGGGCTCCGCACCATTGTTAGAGCCGCACCGGGCGCTGGGGGCAGGCCCCGGGGGTGGGGGGGAGGGCGGGCGGGAGGGAGAGCCCCGGGGAAGGCGAGCCCCGCGGGGCGCAGCGAGCCTCCTTCCCTTCCTGCTCCGCCGCCGGCTCCGCGCGCGGGGTCCCGCCGGGCGGGGATGCTGCTGCTGCCGCGCCCGCCGCGCGCCCGTCCGCCAAGGTGCCGCCGCCGCTCGGACGAAGGAGATCGCTGTGCCCCAGCGGGTCCGGGTGAAGGCGGGGGGCCGGCTGCGACGCCGCTGCAACGCGTCCCGGGCGCAGCGCCGCCGGAGTGGAGGTCTCCGGAGCCGGCTCCACGAGGGGCCTCTGCCTTCACAGCCGCCGGCGCCGACGCTGCCGCTTCTCCCCGTCCCCGCTCCGCTGCTGCCCCCTGGAGGCCGCCGGCCGCACCCGCACGCGCGCCGGGGGAGCCGCGCCCCCGGTGGCCGCGGAGGGGCCGGCGCCCGCGGCTCCCGGTCCCGGCTCCCGGCTCCCGGCGAGGGAGCTGCGGGCGGCGGTCGCCCGGCGGCCCGCGCGGGACTCGGGGAGACGGAGCCGGCTCGTGGGAGGGGACGGCGCGGCGCCCCTGCGGTTCTCCGTCCCCGCCCGCCGGGAGGGGGGAGGCCGGGCTGGGCAGGGAAGATGGATGTCTCCCGGGGCCGAGCGCAGCCCCGCCCCGGCCTCGCCCCTCCCTGCGATCTCAGCTCCCGAAGCTGGGAAACCCTTTCCCCACCTGGGACTCCTCTCTGGCCGCCGTGAGTGGGGACCTGGAGGGGGCTCACTTCAGTCTCCGTGGCAGAAATCCCGAGCTAGAGGGCTCCATGACAGAAGGGAGGTGGCTCCCAGATGCTGGGCACCAGTAGGAAAACGAGACTGGATGGTGAACGACGTGGTTTTTAAAAATCAAAGGAAGGAGAAGCTCCTCAGTCCCCATCTCAACACAATACTCTCCCCTCCTAGCAGCAGCTCGGGGAGCTAGGATGGTGGGAAAGCCGGGAGTGGGAATGGGTTACACCTAAGAGGTCACTGCCTTTTTGACAGAAAATGATAGATAGATAGATAGATAGATAGATAGATAGATAGATAGATAGATAGAATCTCCTTTTCTGGCTCTTTTCAAATCACTTCTCAAATATTATGGGCCTGATTTATCAAAGTGATGTATCCAAAGGCGTGCCCAATACGAAAACTTTTCCTGCAAAATCTGAAGAGTGTAGGGAATTTTAGGCTGTGATCATTCATTCATGTATCCAGAGACAAACTAAATTTTAAAGTTTTTCCTGCAGGCCAAACGCCGAGCTAAGAGCGGGGGACTCAGTGGTTCAGACCCTGCCCTAAAGGATCTCACATCTATTGTGGTATAAATAAAAAATTACAGCGGCACAATGTGCTGTAAGAGAGAAATACTCCTGGCTTCGGGAGCCCTGAGGAAGGAGAAGAGAGATTTGGGGAGAAAGGCTTTACCGAGAAATGGTATTTGAACAGGATTTAATGCAAGTAGTTTGGTCAACCCAGAGAGTTTATGGGTTGCATTGGGGGGAGGGGGAGGGGGTGTTGTATCATACCCAGACAACTGCCAATGGACTTACAAGATGTCCTTCACTAAAATACCAGATCTCTGAGAGCTGAAAAATATTCATATGCATGAATGTTTCAGTTGATCATCACGTTGTATTTAATTGCACAGCTTTAAAAACTGTGATCTTTTTAAAATATTTTTATTGATTTCAGAGAGGTAGGGAGAGGGAGAAAGAAATATCAATGAAGAGGATCATTGACCAGCTGCCTCCCGCCTGCCCCCTACTGGAGATCCAGCCCACAACCCGGGTACATGCCCTTGACCAGAATAGAAAGGGGACCCTTCAGTCCATAGGCTGATGCTCTGTCCACTGAGCTAAACCGGCTAGAGCTAAAAATGTGTTTTTAAGCAAATCTGTTTATTTTATAACAACAGGCTAGAATGTAAGGAAAAATATTTTTAAAATTTAAGGTTTGTTGTGTGTGGGGGGGGGGGTTGTTTTGTTATTTTTCATTTTGCACACAGGAGATTAACTATGGAACCCTGACTGCCCTAATTTCATGTGTAACTGTCTTGTGAAAGAGCTTAGGGTGAAGAGCCAGAATATCCAAAGCAGAGGCTGGGGAGGAAGGTCAGGGCCAGCTGGGAGAGCCTCCTGTGCTTAGCTCTTGGACACAGTTCTGCAGATGGCAGGGAGCCTTTTAAATAGCGAAGTGTCATGATCACATACGTGGTTTATAAAGATAACTGTTGGCAGTGTGGAAAGATAGGTTGGCCATGGGGAGAAAGAGACCGGCGGTAAGCATCTTGCTGTGCGATGATGTAGTCAAATCTAAATGTGATTCATATCAGCCATCCATGGTGTCACTGGAATTTACTTATTTAAATATATTTTATTGATTTCAGAGAGGAGTAGAGAACTAGAAATATCAATGATGAGAGACAATCATTGATCAGCTGCCTCCTGCACAACCCACACTGGGAATGGAGCCTGAAACCCAGGCAAGTGCCCTGACCCCGAATCGAACCATGACTCTCTTGGTTCATGGGCTGATGCTCAACCCCTGAGCCATGCCAGCTGGGCTGGGATTTACTTTATATTTACACCTGAGAAGTGCAATTTATTATTATCTCAGTTTTAGTCTTTGAAAGTAAGCTATTAAAACCCAAGGGAAAACCCTGGCCAGTGTGGCTCAGTTGATTGGAGCGTTGTCCCATGAACTGGGAGGTTATAGGTTCAATTACCAGTCAAGGCTCATACTTAAGTTGCAAGTCCAAACCCCGGATAGTTGCCTTAATGTATTGCTCTCACATTAATGTTTCTCTCTCCCTCCCTTTCTCTCACTCTGTCTCTTCCTCTTTTTCTAAAGTTATTAAAAATAAATAAAAATAAAATCGTTAAAAGCATACCTTTTTTTAAAATTTCTTTATTGGTTATGGTATCACATAATTGTCCTCATCCCCCTATTCCCATCCCAAACCCCACCCAATAAAAGCATACCCTTGGGTGAAGATGAAAAATTAATGATAATAATTTAGGGACAGTATCTTAATTATCTTTTGTTTCATTATGGTGTCCCATAAACAGCCAATAACTTTTCTTGAATGTTAATGTCAATATTGGTAAGCTACCATTACATTGTTGCTGAGGACTGGGTCTCATCCACTATACAGAGCATTTTGCATACCTTCTCACAAGAACCCTACAAGGTGGACAGCATTGTTCTGATTTTGCAGACGAGAATCTGGAAAGTTCAGTAAATGTGGAAAGGCCTGCCGAGACCAGAATTCCAGCCCATAGCAGACTGCCTCCAAAGTCGGTTTTCCTAATTCTCCATTCTGCTTCCTATGAACTGATAGTCCCTTTAAGCATGTGAAAGCAATGCGTCTGCAGTGAGATGTGTGTGACTGATTCACAGTTTTCCCTTGGTGAAGCTCTTCTGGTCCAGCCGTTCAGTCTAATTGGCAAGGCAAATATATTAATATATATATTTCTATTGATTTCAGAGTAAAAGTGAGAGGGAGAAAGATAGAAATATCAATGATGAGAATCATTGATCAGCTACTTTCTGCATGCCCCCTACTGGGTGGGGATCAAGCCTGCAATCCAGGCATGTGCCCTTGACCAGAATCGAACCAGGGACCCTTCAGACTGCAGGCCAATGCTCTATTCACTGAGCCAAACCGACTAGGGCGACATGTCAATTATCCTTTCACAGTTTTCTCTTTGTCAAGTTCTCTTTTCCGTATTTAAGAGTTTTCTTTGCCTCACAAAGCTGGATATGGAGAATGTTTTGACTTAACATCCAGAGATCCAGGTGATCCAACTTTGGCAACTGTGATTCTAATTCTGTGGCTTTGCTCCCCCTTGTGGTAGCCGTTTTCTTAGTTATAAAGCCGGGACTGCTATTTGCACTTTACCCCTGCAGGGGTCTTCAAACTACGGCCCGGCGGGCCAAGAGGAGTCTGATCCGGCCCGCCAGGTTTTTTGGGCAGTGAGCGCAGCCGAGGTGTTACAGTAGGAATTAGTAGTTCATATAGTCCGGCCCTCCAGCTCTCTGAGGGACCGTGATCTGGCCCCCACTTTAAAAAGTTTGAGGACCCCTGCGGGCCTAAAGCTTACCACTCAACCACACTTCTACTTTTTAAGGGATATGTTGTGAGAAATTTGCAGAGATTCACAGTGGAATCCCTACTACATATTAAACCATTCTGTCAACTAGTATTTTTCTTCCTGGACCACCCCAAATTTCCAGAAATAGAAAATACTATACCATCTGACCAGATATCCTGGAATAGGTAGGGATGCTTGCAGCCACAAAATAAACCATCCATCTTACTATACTTTCACTTTGGCCCAGCGCTAAATAATTTAAATAAATTTTTTAAGTTAAATACAGCCCTGGCTGGTTTGGCCCAGTGGATAGAGCAACCATTGTGCACGCATGTCTTCTGTGGTCTTGACTCCTTAACTCCTTGCTTGGCTTCTCCAACTGTGAGCAGTTGGGTTGCATTTTGTTTTGATGTCCGAGGCCAGTGTTCTATGAAGTGCGGTCTTACCACTAATCGCTACAAGAGAATCACCGGGGGAGTCTGTTTGGCATTCGGACACATAGGACCTCCTCTACACGTAGAGCCACACTTATCGACATGAATGTGCACACAAGTCACCTGGGAGTCTAGGTAAAACAAGGTCCTGGTGCCTTCTGCAGTGAGGCCTGAGAGCCTGCATTTCTCAGAACCTAGTCCTGCTGATAATACACACCACACTCGGAGGAGCAAGGACCCATAGGGTCCGAGTTTTGGGTGAGGGGGAGTCCCAGGTGATTCTCAGTCAGAATCTTTGCCCAAGGCCAAGGGTACTAAAAGCATATCCTTACAAAAGACTTTCTGCATTTACTCAAGCAATGTTGACACTGTCAACATTCCCCCCCCCCCCAATTTAATGTAGTTCTAAGAAACTGAACTGTTTTCTCTTCCAAGATAATAAAAATTTTGTTTTAACCCTTTTATCTGTAAAATGGAGATAATAATCACCCAGATTGGTTTGAGGTTTGTGGTAGAAATAAAATGCAAAATTCGTATGTATCAAGCACTTAGCCACCAAGCTGCATACATAAGTGCTACATAAATGTTCTGTCATTGTCATTGTGGTTTAGCAAGTTAACTTCCAAGTTTATAGCAAAACCCTTGCCATCTTGGAGGACCTTACAGTGTGTTTATCTGTCTTTATTTATCTCCTTATGTGAACCTCCTATGTTAATTGAGACTTTGTCTGGTGTTAAGTGAATTTGTAGTTGACTGTGTCTGCATTTCTTACACGTTGCTTCAAATCTTTTATAGAATAATTTCTATGGCCTATTCAGTTCTAATCAACACATATTTATTATCGCCCTAACCAGTTTGGCTCAGTGGATAGAGCGTCGGCCTGTGAATTGAAAGGTCCCAGGTTCGATTCTGGTCAAGGGCATGTACC